GATTGGAACTCCTCAATTTTCTTGGCTTGCACCAAGGCCTTCTCTTTCAAGCTTCGGAGTTGGGTCTCAGCCGAGGCCAGTTGAGCTCGGGCAGCCTCCTTTTTTGAGGCAAGGCGGTCCATGTTCTTCTGCCACGCCTTAGCCTCCGCTTTCACTGCATCCACTTCCTCACGAAGCTGCCCGATCACATCGAGCTTTCGCTGGACCTGTGGGACTGACTGTTAGCTACCACGCCCGAGTTAGTGTCATTAACTTCAAAGATTCTTTTTACCTGCCCGACCAGATCAGCTTGTTCTTTCTAAGCTGCTTCTAGCTTAGCCCGAAGTCCTTTTACTTCCCCTTCTCTCTGCTCACTGATAAGTTTGAAGGCATCTCTTTCCTCAGTAAGCCCTCGGATTTCGGCTTCGTACCGGCTTAGCTCCCCTAGGGATCGGAAGAAAGCCTCGTGATGAAGCACATAAGCCTACAAAAATAGAAAGAAGGAATTATAGAAGGGGAAAAAAGTACAAGTATGAAAATTGACAAAGAAAATATGAACTTACCCGGATCAGGGCCTGTTGGGCTTTGTTGAAAAGACAAGGCTCTCCTACCGCGTCCATCTAGGCTTGGTCTTCTTCCATGACCAAACATCGGAGGTAGCTAGCCACCCCTACGGGGGCAGCAAGAACCCGGGCATCCTCTGGGACCGTGATAACGATTGTTCTTTTACGTCCGGGATCAGCACTAGGGCCCGAAAACTGATTCGTCAATTTAAAACTCGAGGAAGCCTCACCCGAGCTCTTCGTCGGAGCCTCCAAGTCACTCAGACCGGTGACATCTTCTACCCCAACAAAATAACCACGGAAAGGATCTTCCTCTCTGTGGGGTCCCTCCCGGTGACTAGTCTGCACAACCTGAGTGTCGCATATCATCGACTCGGAAAATGAAGGAAATGAGGGGGAATCCCCGATCTCTATTGCCCCAAGTGGGTCTTTTGGGGTGCCGCCTCTGTCTTGGGCAGCCTCAAGCCCGATTTCTGCACCGGCATCCACCGCCTCTTCAACGGTCTCTTCGCCCCGAGATAAAGCATCTTCGGTTCCTCTCGGCTCGGGGGCTTAGGCCGAAGTCTCCTCCTCGACCTCATCAAGCCTAGACGGAGCAGTATCAACTCCCACCGGTTCCGAAGTTCTCCGAATCTCGGTGCTAGCTCGCGCACGGGCCACCACCCCGGAATCATCTTCTTTCTCTTCTTCTTCTTCTTCTTCTTCTTCTTCTTCTTCTTCTTCTTCCCTTAGTATTTGGACTGAATCCATAGTCAGCGGGACTGTGTTCCCCTTAGGTTTACGAGCTGTTCTCTTCTTGGGTTTTTGACCCTCAGAGTTTGAGGCCATTTTCCTCTTATTCTCCTTTGCCAGTTTCGAGATAGGTGGTGTAACTTCTTCATCACCGGACGGGGGTCTCATAGTCGCATCCTTTCTAAGACCTACAAAAGGAGAAAGTAAGTAAACTCATGTTTGAAAAGATGCTTGAACAATAGGCAAATCAGTAAGTCAGGAAGAAGGCTTACCATGAGTAGGAGCCTCCCACTGACCCTTTAACAAATCGCGCCATGTGCGCTCGGCGTATGTTGACGTTGAAATCAGGCTCCTAACCCAGTTCTCGAGGTAGGGAACCGTGCCCGGCATCCAAGAAACGGCTCCATCGAGAAAAACACTAATAAGAAAGGATGAAAAAGTAAAAATAATGAACAAAAATTAAATACGGAATCATACTTACGTTTCATATTCCATTTATCAGGAAATGGCATGCTTTCAGCCGGATTAGGTCCGTGGTCTTCACCCAAATGAACCGGCCCATCCAGCCCCGATCTTTGTCTTCATCTATACTTGAGATGAGCGCCTTGGTGGCTCGGCGTTGAAGTTTTATCAGCCCACCTCGATAGAGTCGAGAGCTATATAATCTTATGAGGTGGTCAAGAGTGAAGGGAAGCCCGTCAATTTTGCTCACGAAGAAACGGAGCAGTATCACGATCCTCCAGAAAGAAGGGTGATTTTGGCCGAGGGTCACCTAGTATTTCTTGCAGAAGTCTACGATGACCGGATCGAGGGGACCCAACGTGAAAGGATAAGTGTAAACACTCAGGAACCCTTCCACGTGGGTGGTGATCGCTTCTTCTGGTGCCGGTATCACAACCTCTTTGTTTCCCCAGTTGCAATCTTTCTTCACCTGGTTAAGGAGGCTTTTGGATATCGAGCATATATATCTCTATACCGGCTCGCATCGACCAGGAACCAATGAGGGTTTCTCGACCTTAAAGTCGGAATCAATGACATACCCCTAGGGGATAAGTTCTTCAGGGCGTGGCTCCACCACTAGTTTCTCGCCGGCTGGCCGAGATGAGGAAGCAGCCTTTTTCTGCGAAACCGTTTTAGATGTTTTGGCCATTTAGTTTTTGTGGGAAAAGAAGAATGGAGATTGAAGTATTTAGTGTTTTAGGAAGAACAAGCAAAAAAACTCAAAAACCTGAAGATAGGAAGCTTTGGAGAAGGCAAAGAACTATGGAGATTGGAATGAAAAGATTTGAAAGTAAAGTTTGAAATAATGAAGAAGAGGGCTATTTATCGGTTTCACAACGATGGTTCAAAACTGGTAATAGACGACCGTCGACTGATGCGCATTAAGTACTCGGGAAACTGTACCGACGAGACATTTCAGTCACTCCTACTGCTTATGTCACGACGATTACGTCATGATGTACCGAGGTGAAGATCGAAGGCTCAAATCGTTTCTTGTCATTACTCTCCAAAAAATGAGGGGACTATCTGTATACGATCAAAATCGGGCTTGCTCGATTTGTATGGTTAATCGAGACCGAGAAGGATAGAGATCTAGCGAGATCAAAGGAAGCCTACTAAGTCGAATAACAGAAAGCCGGAGAATCCGTGACCGGGTAAGGATTGTGGTGGAGATCTCGGTATGTATCAAGTCAAGACCGGTTGATTAGACAATTAGGAGATTTTCTTCTGTATTTAGAATTGTACCATATGTAGAACTCCTCTACTATATAAAGGGGCCCCCAATCATTTTGTAAGGGGGACATTCACGCATAACAAAGTAATATATTACGTTTTCTCTCTTAAGCTCTCTTATTCAGTAGTTCAGTTCTTGTTTTTCAATAATATACTAGTTGGTTCGAGGGCGACCTAGCTCGAGGGTCAAAGTTGCGCGTTACATTGGTTTGATTTATTTTATAGTTAATTTCTAACTTCAATTCTCATATTTCTCAATTTGTGGCAAGTGAAATCACATATCCTTAAAACCACTTACAAATTGGGAGAGTTATCCAATTTTAAGGGTAAATAAAATTCAATGTTATTATTTTCCACAAGTTTCCAGTATATTTAGTAAAGAAGTTGAAGTAAGGTTTGAGAATAGAAAAGCAAATATGCAACAAATATTTATTTAAAGGAATGAATTGTGGAATTGATGGCTGGTAACGCTAGACTTATATTGGTTTATAGATTTTTCTCACAAGTTGAGCATTTGGATCGGTAAGAAGTCGATCTTTGGCTAGTTGGCTTTTAGAGGTGAGTAGTAATCTTACCGCAAATTATGTTTTCACAACCTACATGGTTTATACATGATTTTAAAAATAAAATGTGTTACTGAATGTTTGAAATTGCTTGTGGGACAAGTTCTTTACTTGATATGGTATTGAACAATTTATATGAGATGTTTACAGTTATTTCAAATGTTTCCACTGTTATTAGACATATTTTTACTGTTACTTGAGGTATGATTACCGTTACTGAAATAAGATTACATGATTTGATAAGAATTGAAATGCCTTGTACTATTTTGAAAATGTTGTCATATAAACACGTACTGTTTACAAAGAAAAGTATAAATGGGAGGAGACCTTGAAGGATCTCGTAGCTAATAACGAGTTCGTTAGACCTGGTGCACCTTGTATTTACAGATTACCGATTACAGTTATAGCCCTCGCTAGTGGGAAGGTAAAACTAGCATACGGTTACAGTTTTCCCTCGTGTAGGGACCTACAGTTATATTTGACTCCTTTTACGAAAGGGTCCACACAGTGATACAAATTACATGATCCTTTCCTGGAAACCGCTCAAACATAAAGATTTGATATCACACTGTGCTTACCGAGTTTATTAGCAAATTATTAAATTAATTTATGTTACAAAAACACATGATGAGACTGATTATGGTTACCGTTTTGAAAAAGGGTATTTTATTTTATGATAATTTCTGGTTGTTATTATTATACAGGTATATTTTCTGACTTGTTCCTAATTAAAAATAATTGTGATTAAGTGTTATTACTCACTGAGCTAGCGACTCACTCTCTGCTATTGTTTTTACAGAGACAGCAGTAGACGCAGGTGAGGATTCCGTTAATTAGAGTACACGAGTTGACAGTTCCGGGTAAGCCCCACATTTATTCGCGTGGGCAAGAATTGTTATTTATTGGTCATAGTCTCTATCTTGAAACTCTTAGAATTGCTCTAGTCATTTTTATGAGTGTCATAAGTATTCTTTTATTGATATAAACTTGTGACTCCTATTAGACTTTCCTATCGTATATTTGGAGATGGAGTTAGTATTATTTTGTTGGAAATATTTCGCGAATAAGGATTACAACTTGTCTTTATGGATATTGGTTGGTTGTATTGTTGATTTCTAAGACAAGTTTATTTTTGGATCGTTCTAAAACAGGAGAAACTCTACCCGATTTTATGTAAATTACCGATGAGGCTTTCTTGAGAGCACTTGCTCCTAAACGCCGGTCATGATACTAAATTGGGTCGTGACAACATGTCAGACCATTTAAATCTAGTTTAATATTATGAATAATTAATTCTTCTTACTCTAAAAGTTCTCATCATAATCTAGTGACATCTTTTAATGTTACCTATGTAAAGAAAAATATTCCTTATTGGAAAACACATTCTAACAAAAGAAAATTAGAAAAAAGTGAAGTAGAACATTCATGCAAATCGTGCCTTAACATGCTCAGAATAATGCACACTTCCACTTTCCAGCACGTAATTTTCCCCAAACCTATTTATTCACAACACGCAAAGCATTATAATAACCAAATCCCTAACTGAAAAATAAATCACTGGCACAATGAGAAAGCAAATACAAATTAATTCATCAACAGTTATTTGTTTGGTGCTGTTATTACTTGCCACTGAAACTGGAATTATTTACCGGGTTGCCCATGGAGCTCAACGGAGAATCCAAATCTCCGACGATCTCGACGACGTCGTTGACGATGAGGAAGATGACGTTTGGAGAGAATGGGGCCGAAAGAAATCGGCCGAATCCGATTTCGATCCGCCGCCGATGGATTTTAGCACGATGAATCCGTCGGAAATTCAATCGGAAATGATGAAGCGGCAGTCGGGTCCGGTTTTTGGATTTGCCAAACTCCGACTTGGAACTCGTCGGACTCCGGTATCTCTTGCTTTACCTCTAAATTTCAATGGATTTAATTTATATAAATTGCCAATTTAAATATTTTCTTACACTCGGTGATAACATGTTATTCACCATCAGCATAAACTTAAACTCAATTTTAATTACTACATTGTTACTTTTTTGTTAATTCGGATTAGTACGGAATAATGTGATGAGTAATGACGAGTTAAATAGATATTCCTACTTAGAGTATTGAATCTAGTAAAATACTTCCTCAATCCTAAATTAATTAGTCACGTTTCGCTTCTTAGGAGTTAATTTGACTCATCTGTAGAGCTAATTTGAATTAGGTATATTTAATATTTTTAAATTAAAATTTAGATATTTGAAAGTTACATGAAAAATACTATTTACAACAACAACCCAGTATAATCACACTAGTGGGGTCTGGGAAGGTTAGTTTGTATGCATACCTTACCCCTACCCTGGATAGAGAGGTTGTTTCCGATAGACCCTCGGCTCCCTCCCTCCAAGAACTTTCTACCTTGCTCTTGGGTGACTCGAACTCACAACCTCTTAGTTAAGTGAAGGGTGCTCATCACTAGAGCAACCCACTCTTGTCAAAAAAAGGAATGAAAAATACTATTTATAATTTGCAATTCTTCTCATATCAATACGGTAAAAACATATTGATATTCCTACTTGTTGTCGTTACTTTTTTTTTTTATCCGTTCTCTAGTCGAGGGTCTATCGGAAACGACATCTCTGCCCTTCCAATGTAAGAGTAAGACTGCGTACATCTTTATCCTTTCAAGACCCCACTTGTACTGGATTTTTTGTTGTTGTTGTTGAATCTCGAGAAGCGAAAAATTGACAAGTATTTTGGGTAATCGCGTAGTTGTAAGAAAAATCTACCAACTGCATCACAATCCCGAGCTAGTGGAAGTAAACTATCCAAATTCTCTATTTCCATTTGCAGTGACTGATGTATTTTTCCAGAGGCGAGATTTTAATTTGTGGGTTTGCTTGTAAACTTCTATATTCAGCATTGAATATATCGTGTTTGGATAAACCCGATGCTGAAACACTGGATCGATCCCTGGTACTAGGGATGGGTTCGATTGAACCTGCAATTTTCTATTTAGACCACAGTTATATTTTTTAGAACTTCTAAAACTTACGTAGTAGATATATATTATGTTCTGAATCCATTTTTTTTTTAAAGAATTTTGAACTTTGAATCCATAAGATTAGATCCTATATCCACCTCTGCCTATCCGGATTGATTCGGACTATAAGTAGAACAAGAAAATATGAGTTGACCAACAGCAGAATGTGGTAGATCTGGAACTTATCTTTTCTGTTTTAGAAGGGACGTTTCAGGCAATCAAAAGTACAGGAAATGGATTGATAATAGCAGCTTTTTTTGTTAATTCTATCTCTGACTAGTTATCTGTGCAGAGAGAGATAAGAATGAGATTTAGATAAATTCTAATTTGTCTTAAAAGGCAAGATATTTAGTATCAGAGTGAAATGGACCTAGATAGAATGGAACAAATATAAAGGATTGTTTAAGCTGACCCAAACTGATTTTGGATGGAAACATAGTTTATTGAATAGAAGGGCATCTAGTTTGCAGAGGCTTAGATAGGATTGCAAAGTAAATGTATTATTAATTGAGATCAAACTTGTTTCCAGGAGAAGGTTTCTGAAATAGCCATGAAATGGACCAAACTAGCAAGAACTGGAGCTATTGAGGCAAAATTCATAGTCGTCGATGTGAGCACGATCATGTTCACTATGGAGAAAGGTCAAGACACTATAGAGGTTTGTCTCCAAATCTGGTGCCTTATTCTAACCTGCTAACTTTACCTATTGATCCTTTGAAGCAAAGAGTTTATTCTAATGGCTCAAAACTATCAGGGGATAGGTAGATTTTGGTATCATTTTGCAATATCAACTGAAAAACAGTAGTCGACCATCAAACAAATATCAGAACACTTGTATGATGAATATCAAGGCTTTAGTTTTGCTTTAAAATTTAGCCCTCAAATGCATCTTTATTGCATGGTTTTACATTATTCAGTTGTTGATTTTGGGACGATGTGTTAGTTGGTATTTCAGAGAGTAACAAGTTGTGTGTGCTAGAAAATTTGAGAATCTCTTATTCCTCCATTTTGCAGTTGAAAGAGTTCTTGTTAAGCCAACGAGAAGCATACGAGGTTAAATTAGGGGACCAACTTTTTCGAAGACCAGGAGATCCTCCTTTTGAAGAAGCATTTGAGAAAAGCAAGGTGGATCATATCAGCTCAAAAGAGAAGAATAGGCATAATGAACTGTGATCACCAGAAAAACCTCTTAACAACTAATTTCTGATTACTTATATTCTAACGTGTACTATTAGAATTGCAGGTGTAAGCGGCTGGCAACTAATTTGAGCTTACTATTTTCTGTTCTATTTGAAAGTAAGTTATACATCATGAATTCATTATGAACACCTTTTGCCGGGGAATTTTTGTTGTTGGAATGAATCTTATAAGGGAATGATGACAAAACAATGATTTTTTAATGGTAACCGTGTATGACTTTTTAAGGTTCACACCTAATCCCTAATGACTGAATCTCAACATTTTATGCTACTTCCTATATTTTAGACAACTGTTTGGTGTATTATGCCTCAAAGAGGACCATATAATGCTATTCCTCCCCTTTGGAGAGTATTCTCCAAGTCCTGAAGATTAGATCCTGTTAGATGATTATATGGCAATCCTAAAACATTTGCTGCTCATCATAAAATTACTTTATTCAACCATAATATAAACCAATCCCTCAAACTAATGATCAAAGTGGGCAAGATGCTCAATATATGATTTTGTAAAGAAAAATTACAGAGACCCTCTCATTTAACAAAAAATGCAAGTTAATTGGAAGAAAACAAGATCATTTCAGCTTGTTGCTGAAGTCAGAGAGCCCAAGAAGGCGAATTCTGGAAATGCTAGCAGCTTCCTCCCTTTCTTTTTGAGTATTGTAACCCCAATCCCCTGCTTCCAGAAAATTAGATCAGCAATCAGTACAACATAGCAATTAGCCAATAAAAGTGAACCGCAAGAGGAAAGAAAATGAATTAGTATGATGCATCTATAAGAAACAAAGAGAGTATGATAAGTCACCTAAATACAAGTTCCATCCATCCAACTCGGACTCTTTAATCACATTCTTTAAAGTAGCAAGTCGGTCTTCCACAAAGCTGATCAATAGTGACAAAAGTGGATGCACTTAATTTCACGCATTAGAACCCATATAGCTATCCAAAAGAAGGTTGAGTAGTTCTGATGCTATAAAAATCTTACTGTAGGGTCAGACCCTGGTGTTCTGGCATTTCCTGAAGTAGCTTGAGCACTTTTACTTTAGGACTGATAAAAAAGAAGTATCACGTGAGCACGAGTATGTGCTTGAGATAAACAACACGGATGATCGTGTCTCTTGATATTGCAGTTAGCCTAATCCAACCTGACATGCGTAAAATAAACTTACCCTGTGCCTAGACCATATATCCTTTCAGCTGGAATAGTTATCCCAGCAAGCTCTCTAAGTAATGCATCTGCAAAGCGGCTCTGCAAATGGAAGTGGAGAATCAATGTCAGATTCAGAGTATAAATATTAGATTAAACAGTTTAACTCAAGGCTCTACGATTGCAATTCCTCATTCCTCAAGAACTATTTAAAAAATAAATATCTTGTATGCATGGTGAATATTTTAGGATACATTAGTTTGAAATATATTATCTTTAGGGTGTGCACATTCTAGCAAACCTGCTTCGTGGTGACTATATAGAGCTTTGAAGTTGCAAATTTCAGTGCATCAGGAACTCCAGGATAAAACCTGTAGAGAAAAGAGTAAAATATTTAGGATTTTCCAATACAGTAAATCTTTTGCCGTGACATAGGTGATTCTAAGAATGACAATAAAATGAGCAGCAACCAACTTATAGTTTTGTGTTCAAAGTATAAATGTAGGTGACTGACACAGCATTTGTCTTTCTGTATTTCTTTATGTTCATCAACGGGTTACAAATTAGCGAAGAGATTAGGGCTAATCAGGACCCTCAAGTGGTTGATTTGATCTTACAAACATGATCAAGAACTAGACTTACCTGTTTGCACCAATCCAAGTAGCCAAATCATTGTCCATCCATTCATCTCTAACCTTACCAAAAAGATCTATAAGAAAATCCCTGTCTTCATCCCATTCTGCCATTATAATGGGTTTTATCTTTGCCCAGTTCTCAAGTATTCCCTCAACTGTTAGTCCTTCTGCAACCTATTACGTTAAGACAGCTATCACCTCGACAAATTTTAAGATACATCAACTGAAATGAATAGATTTGCATCATCAAATCCAAGACACTTTTGATTTTTTTTCCTTGCGTACCCACCGAAGACTTGCGGATTGAAGGGATTCTCGTCTCTAAGAGCAACCTCACAAGTAAAAGATTTTCATATCCAGTTTCCACCACAGGCCTAACCTGCAGAAAGTTTGAAGATTTATCACTTCTATATGACTGTAAATTGAACACAATTAGCACCAGTATATGGATCTCAAATATGATTGGTACCCTCCTCGCTAACAAATGATTTACTCTGACAAGATTGATATGATTATCGGAAATATTCACTTATTTAAAGAAAGTATCTGTGCGATCATAACAAAATGCTATTCAAAACACTTCTGCTCAAGTTATTGAGGGAATGAGAAATTAGTTCTAAGAATGTCAAATATGCAGCATGTAAGACTAAGTACTAAATGAGCACGTCGACAAAAAAGGGAAAAAAATTTTCCCATACAATGATTGCAAAAACAGGAAAATCAGGGATTGTTGTATGTGTAGTGGTTGTAACTCCTCTCTGCACAACTTAGACGGATGATTCAAACATTACCTAATTTCTGCTCTCTACTTCCATTCCCTCCCCTTATTATCCCCACCCAAAAGATAAATAAATAAATTGATAAATCAAAGGAAAACCATTGCTGGGAGTCAAAAGCATGAAAGTTTCTGAGCACCATCAAAATTTCAAGAGTGACACACTTATGTCTTTGAAATGTATAATTCACCTGGTTTTTGCTACTTCATAGCACCCAGAGGTGCTCATCGGTCCATTGACGACATCATTGGTTTCAACAGTTCACATGATTATACACGCACACGACACACCAACACTACTAGCCAAGGCCAACCAAGATGGATATGCTAAGAATAATTAGTAATAGACTTACGACAAAGCCAAACTCATGCCAAATGTGAACTGAACTGGCGATGGCATTATATTCAATGTGCGATTCTTGCGCTCTTTATAGTAGTGACAGTTCTCATGGAAAGAGAGTTTGGTTTTCTGTCAAAGAAGCATGCTTAACACAACCTATAGCATAACAACATTATAGTCGCGTCTAAACTAAATTAATGTAAAGAGCTTGCCCAATACCACTAGTACCATAAATGTATCTCTTTCGTCTGCACGAACAACTTTCTTTCAGCTACTTCACTTATACTTTGACTTTCTAAGAAGTACTTATACTTCAGTAGCTAACTTTCAAAATTAGATATGGAAACGAGGACAAGTAGAAACATGAACTAGACTCATTCCAACGTACCTCAAAACGGAAACGAATAAAGAAAGAATAATACTTTGACTAGCTAACACAAAAAGAGAAAAGAAAGACGACGATGACGACAACAACAACAACAGCTACTACTTAAGCTTCAATCCAAATTTGGGAGAGTTTGGATCTGCTATATGAATCCTGACTTGTCACATTACTCCATTTAAACTCATCTCACGCCTATATTGTGCAAATACAAATAAAAAGTAACAAAAGTTCTGTATATTTTCTAAACATTATAAATCTCTGAAAGGCTAAGCCACTCCTAAAAAGCATAGGACCTATAGAGGAAAAAAGAAAAATATAAACTTTACCACATGCATTTGATCCACAATCCAATCTTCCAAAGAAGAGTCCACCCCATTGAAAAGACTGGGCCATCTCACTTTAGCAGCCTGCAAAACCAACAAAATTTTAATTAAAAAAAATGGCGAAAAGGGGCAATGAATTGAATATTGGGAAGCAAAATGGGTAATGAATTTGTAAGCAAAGATATTATATGACCTTAACAGCAGAAAGAGAGCTCTCTCCACAACTGTCACAGAGAACTCCGTCAAAATCTAAGGCGTACAAATCCCCCATCCTAATATCCCAATCCAAAATAGGCTCACTCACCCTGCGCCTGTGGGATGAGTTTAACACCCGCCAATCAAATTTGATCAAATACTTGGGGACTCAATTGAACATTTTGATTTATTTGTAAGAATCATGTCGTTTTATTGATTCTGTGCTTCCCGGTTTTTTAGTCCTGATCCGACCCGGAAGACAGGCTAGCACTTTAGTCATTTGATAATTTTTAGACGGATTTTAATTTATGTCAGCTATGGTTTGATTCAACATAAAATTTAAGAAAGACAGAAAAAGTTTTGAAATTAGTGATTTTAAATATGTTATATAGTAATAATTTTTTGGTTATAAGACTTTTGAGATTATAGTTAATATGTTAATATTTATGTAATTATAAAATCTTCGCATTAAGAACAACAACATACCAATATATTCTCATACTTGGGGTTTGGGAAAGGTAGTTTGTACGACGTTCTTACCCTATTTAGTGAAGGTAGAGATGTTTTCAATAGAAACTAGGGAAGAGAAGAAGAAGAAAAAGGTAGAAAGAGGGGGTAAAAAGAGAGGGGGAGGGAACAGACTGAGTAACACCAAAAACTGAAACAAACTAAATAACATGGTGTAATATAAATATGAGAGATAGGAAAGTACATGCGTGCTACTAGTACTATCGGTAAGAAAGGGGAAAATTCTCAACTGTATGTTAACCTTCTACCTTAATCCTTGACATCTATACTCTCCTATCTAGGGTCATGACCTCCATGATAAAGAGAATAGAATGAAAAATATTTTAAAATGTTTTCAAATAGGAGTATATGCAATTTTCTTTAGACGGACATCTAATAAGAAAATGCAATCATATAAAATGAAACATAGGGTCAGATGTTTTAGAACGGCGTCATTTAATAATACGAGTCATTTAATGCATTTTAACATTCTTTATTTTTCATTTTTAGTGCTTTTCACTCCAAAAAGTAATGACCCTTTCATTACTTAAAATCTTAAATGTATCCTTTAACCATGGATTTTAGACGTTTTAAAGCTTTTAAGCGGAAAGAATTTTGTGATTCATACCTAAGTGGATTAAGGTGTGATTATAATAGCTGACGGGTGCTAAACAACCTTATAAGATAACGTTCGTACAAGTCAAATTATACAATAGAAAAATTAGCATCCTAGGGATTGATTTCTCTAATATGACACCTAGTCTTAGGAGTCTAAAACTCAAACCTCAATAGTCGTAATAAATGAAAACTGCAAGTTAAAGAACTACAATCTCCCAAAACTCGATAAAAACAAGTCACAAGTTTCTAAGAGAAATGCTAATGTCTCTATATATCAAA